GTTACAGGCTCCTCGGAGAGGTATGCAAATCTAAGGTCAACTATTGCTTAGTCTGATAAAGTGACAAACAATAATCCAGTCAAGGCATAAAGAATGGTTTTGAAGATAGCTCGAGTTAATAAAGAGTAAAAGTGCTTCAACATAAAAAAAAAAATAATAAGTAATAAGACTTAATTCAACCTAATTAACTTAAAGCTAGTAGTATTAATATCTATTAAATTTAATTTAGATCTAGTCTGGAAACACAATCAGATAGAAAACTTCAATAAAAACTATGTAATTGCATTTAATTTGTTATTGTTTTGGTGTAAAAACTATTTATTGCGCACTTAAAAATTTAACAGAATTGTTGTTGCCATGAATATTAATGAAATAAAAATTTGAAAAAATTAATTTCTTATATTTTTGTTAAGAAATAAAATAAAGCAGGACAGGTCTCAGAACTCATCGCCTTAGGGATCGAGAGTGGTATTCGAGCTAACAACATCTGGTTCAGAGCTCATTTCATGATCAAATTCAATACCGTCATCGAAACCATCCTCAACGAAAGTCACAGTATCATTGATGCGTACAGATTCTGGAAACTCGCCATATGCTTTAAGGTTCCTAGCCTCATCAGGTGTGTACTTCAGAATAACATCAGCCCTTGAATCTTGATATTCACGCAACCCAACCAATATAAAATCGCCTTGATTGATCCAAATCTATATACATAAATAGATACAAATACTTGCAAACAATATTGTACAATACTATTTATTTGAATGCTCATTGAACTAACAATGATATTGATAAAGTTATATATGTGTATTAAAATTAAGAAATCGACTCAAATTATAAGTCTTAAGAAAGGATACTAATACTCTTTCCCTACTACTAATCAAGAATTCGATGAATACTATAAGTCTCTAAACAGGATACTGATACCCTTTATTCAGAAAGTGATCAATATTATAAGTTTTAAAGAAGGATGCTGATCTCCTTTTTCAACTACTAATTTAACTAGTACTACAGTTTGAGACTTTTTTAATTTCTACTTAACTATTTCTTATTTCACTTCAAATTTAGCTTTTAGAACTATTATACTAATCTAAATTAATCTAAAATAATTCATTGAAAGAACTCTTACCTTCTTGCGAAGTTTACCACGAATATGACACAAGCGTTTGACATTGTCAAAACACATAGCCTCCAAGTGACCACTACCAAGCATTTTGGTAACCTGAGCATACTCCTGCAAGTCCTCCTTGAAGACTAGTTCACGCTTCTCATATTCGTTTTCATTTTTACCACGACGGCGATTTTTTCCTCCTTTACCTTTGTTTTTCGGCATCCTGCAGTCCTGTGGTAATAATTGGATTCAGTTATATTTTGGACTGAACAGAATTATATGAAATTTGGAATATTATAGTATTTTGAAAATTACTATTTAAATAATAATTAAAATATAAAAACCTTTATCTTCATAAAAAAAAATGTATACTTTTAAAAGTTAGCCTACTGAGAAAATTTGATACACTAAAAAATTAATCCCCGGGAAAATATTTTGCAACGTAGACCAAAATGCGGTCAATTTTGGAAATATCCCGGAATTTAGAAATAACAATGAAATATATTATTTTAGTTGTTTTCGAAAAAGTCACGCCGATATATTCAAATAAGTTTAATTAAATTTATGAAAATATCTTAGTCGGTTCAGACTATCACAATCACTTTGGTATCCTTTTGTCGTTCCAAAATGTATATTCACAGTATAATTTTATTAATTCGAAGCAGCAAATAATCACGAATATACAAAACACACACGAAATACTTAAATTTCTTACACTTTAAATAGTTCAAAAAATTTTATTTCCAAAATGATTTTTTCTTTCCAACTATAATATATTTAAATATATGTTATCCAAATTTTTTGACGTTTTATATTTTCAGTAATCATCACCATAGCAGCTTTTGCTATTGTGAATCTCTTTTAGAAATATTCACAATAATGCCTATTTGCAATGCTAATATATTGATTTTCAAATATCGCAATTACACCTAACCTGCGCTTACTAAATATTCAATATATTCAATTCAAGATTCGAAATACTCAAGATATTTTACAAATAGACCTAATCTTTTATAAACGTATTAGAAAATGGGAACATAAAATTAAACTTACTCTAGGTGGCAGCACTCAAAATGCTATCAAATGGTTTGTTTGGATGAAAAATATTCATAATTTCAAAACTTTGTTACTTTAGATTGGATTTCAAATTGTATTGGAGATATAAAGTATTAACTTTAAAAAGACAGACCGATAATCTAAAAAACTGTATTAACTAAGCCAAAAGTGTTTGTTGCTTAACAGTCCTTTTTGAATATAAGCTAAACTATATGGGAATATTAGGCTGAAGTAATTATGGTCCAAAGTCATTGGTACTTCACAAACGACTTCAAATCTTAAATTGGCGATAAACAAAGTTATGTTGCGTGTTTGGGGAAATTGGAAAGGAATTGTCTATTACTATCTGCTCTTGCCTAGTGGAATGGTTAATGCGGTAATTTATCGCTTAAAAGTCGACCGCTTGAATGAAATAATTAAATAAAAGCGACCTCTGAGTTGGTTGCATCATGACAATGCCTGGTCATGCACACTTTCAATGATTTAGAACAAATTGATGAAACTTGGTTGGAAAGTTTTGATATATATACCATATAGCCAAGATCTTTCACTATCTGACTAGCATTTGTTTCAATCTCTGCAAAACTCTCTTAATACTAAAAAATTGGCCGATATACCACAAAAGTGGTACGTCGGCAATCCAAAATCGGATGGAATTATGAAGCTAGCCGAAAACTGACAAAAGGTTATGAATAATAATAATTATTATTATAACCAATATGTTTACTTATGGCATTTTCGATTGATAAATCTGGATTCAATCTAAATTTGCTCTCGATCTGCCCAATGGATCATTTTTAGAGTAATCTAACATACATATATGATAAAGCAAGCCTTTCAAATTGCCAATATTTTACAAAACACATATGATAATGGAAACGTTTCATATTGCATCAGAAACATTTAACAAACGCAACATACCCTGTATTTTTATTAATTTGTTGGATATAGTAATATTTCATTTAAATAGTTCATAAATAATAATAAGGCATTTTTCAAATAAAATTTTCTCATCCATTTTTAAAATTTAAGGTATATTTTATATCCTTTTATTCTTTATATTTCCTGATTAAATAAAATATTAAATAATATGTTATAAGAACTAACTGCCTGCACTTGATTAAGAAGTTTTTATGCATCCACTACATAACCCGGACTTTACATTATCCGATGTCCATACTAGGACCAGCAACAACAAGAGATATCGAAAAACAGAGTAGTACTCAAGAATGACAGCGGAGATGGGCTACATCAGAAAACGGAAGATGGACATTCGTATTGATAAATGACATAGATCTTTAGGTGCACCGCAAACATGGAGAAGTTAACTATTTCCTTACACAAATACTTACTGGTCATGGCTGCTTTAAGTATTAGCTTCATCGTTTTAAACATGAGAATGATGTCAATTGTCCAATATGTCCCGACGAGATATAGGATGCTGAACACATTATTTTTAAACTGCCCGCGAATTAAGGAAGAACGACAAAGCATACAGACTGTTTTTTAAGAAACCCCAACAGTAAGAAACCTCATCAGACAAATGTGCGGTTCAACCTAAAAATGGGAGATAGTAAAAAAGGCTACAACAGGGGCAGCAAAGTAAGCAAACTTAGTTAAGACGAACTGACATGAACAGAGATAATTAACTAACAATGTAAGCGGAAATGCTTAGACGGCCTCTTGACAAAATACTTTACGGTGGTGCCAGGAGAACCTTTCCGTTCGGACGTAGGGATTTTTTGGGAGGGTTGGAGTCCTCCACTGACTAGGTTTTTCTTTCAATCAACAAAAAAAAGAAAAGAAAAACAACATCTGAGCATCATTTAATTTTTAATTCTCTGTAAAACTCTACTTCTACACCAATAGAATATGGTGCTACCTAAAAAGTGGTAAAAAGTTATAAATAATATAATAATGACGAGTATACTTTTTCTAAAAATTAATTATCATTAAAGAAAATCACCGTCAATCAAAAAACAGCGGAAACTTTTTATATCACCTACTATTTTATGTAACTTTTTTACACTGCGTTGAAAACGTCTTCCTAAACGTATAACACCCTGTATTTTCTTTAATGTGATAAGTAAAATATTGTATATTTTTTAAGAAATTCATATATAATAATGATTAATTTTGACAAATACATATAATTTCTTAAAATAATTATATATATCTAAAATATAACTTTATTGTATTTTCTTATGAAGCAGAATATGTATAAAAAAAAGAGTTTAGAAAACTTCGAATGAAGTGGTTTCAGCAAATAATCAAAGCCAATTAGGAGAGATTAAATTATTTTCGCACGCAACTGCACCAACTGCTGTGGTTCACATGTGCAGTTCTCGAAACTTTCTTCCGATGAGTCGCAGAAACCAGAAACGCATATGTACGCTCTTCGAAGTTGCACCCGAAAAAACAGACGTGGACTTTGCAGACTTACGATCACGTTTGGTGAAAGAATCACGTAAGCAGTTAAGTTTTTATTGCTGAACAAAACCAAACTGAACCACCAAATGAGCTTCAGTTGATACGAGGCAAGCGAAAGAAACTAAACGAAATGTTCGCGGGTTCGTACGTGTGAATTGAGGAACCGAAAAGAAGTGGGCAGCACTAAGTAAGGCACGGGTGGCAAAGTGAAGTACAAGTTTGTTTGAGTTACGGGTTTCAGTGGAAAAACCGTAAAGTGAAAGAGCAGACACCATGAAATAAAAGGCATGAGACACTGCATTCTGTAGCTCAACGACGATTTAATGAAACAATACGGCAATTCCATTGTGAACAAATGGAATAATTAATAATTTGTTAATTAATTTTACTTAAATAAGTTTATATCGAATAACGGTCTTCACTCTCTTTAAATTTACGTGTTAATTGTGAAATAATGGCCATGACATTTACCAACATTTAAAATACTTAAAAGTGAACCAACTGTGCTGGAAGTGAACGTTTTCGGATATGTTAATGTCTTCAAGACATTCTTCTCTTCTTTCGAAAAACGTAAACAAAGCAGTTAAATGCATGCAAAAATTTGACCCAGAAAGAAAGTCAAGTCTGAACCATTGCTTTTCATTGGCGTCGGCTTGAGTGGTCGTCAGAATTCGAGATCATTTCACTTGCGTATCTGCGCTGCAGATACTCGTAGCTTCGATCGAACTCATTTTTGGCAATTGGGTGAGAGTTTCTTTATCGACGTTGTTGCTATATTCTTCCGGTCATTTTTAAAATAAATTTTATATATAAAAATCTTTAATTTGTTGAAATTTAAACCAAAAACGAAACTGTGCCAATTGAAAAGTGCAAGCAAATTGCTTTAATTTTTATTTCTTCTGCAGAAAAGTGAAATTTTACAAAACGTTTTTAGTGCATCTTCGTGTTAAAATACGAGTATTTTCTTTGATTGGCGGTAAGCAAATAAAATTATATATATATGGAAATATATCTACATGTAAGATTTGTGCACATAAAAAATATTTAATGTTTAAGATTTTTCACTTTTAAATTCTTTTTCGACTTCTCTCAATTAAAGCCGCCGAGTTATTAGCGCATGCGCAAATGAGCTCATTAACCATTTTATATCTGAACGTCTGAATACACTTTTATATGATTAACTGTTGTAGGTAAAATGATATATGTTTATACGTACATTAAAATCTGAATATATATAATCGTATATATGTGTTCACTTTTAATGAATGTTGATTATAACATTGAAAAGTAAGAAAAGATTTTTGATGAAAATCTTATTGCGCTCTAATAACAAAACGAAATATTTCTTTTTTTTGTGGTAATTATTTTTACATTGTTTCTCCATTTCTTTTATTCCAGTTTTAATTTTTGAAAATAATAAGTGTATTATTCTTATTACTAAAATTATAAATAATACACATAAAAACACACTTAAAATTTAATTTTTATAATTAAAAAAATACAATCGTCTTATGATCTAGCTAAAGTTTCTCAATACTCTCAATCATCAATTATCTCAATCAATTATAAAACAAAAATATTTTATATTAAATTTGTTTCTTAAAGTCAATTATGATGAAGATTAGATTAGGTTGGAGTGGCGGCCTTGTTTACCAAGAAACCCCACTTGAGCACAAATAATGGCCCGTTATGGTACCACAAGAAAAAGCGATGCTCATATATAGATAAGGTGATCAGTATACGACCAACGCCCGAAAAGGCAATGACTTCCCCATTAGGCGAAGTTAAACCAACCCGACAGTTCTATAAATCTGGTTAGGTCCCTCACATTGTAGGATGACAGCTCAGTCAACAACATTTTTGATCTTTTTCTGGCTAAAGACGGGCACTGAAATATGAGATGGAACACAGTTTCATCCTCGTCTAAACTTAAAACTTAATAGAAATGCCAATACAGTTTGACATTCTGAGCTATCAAACATTAGTTATTCATATCGATAGTTATCATGTTGCTAACAACAACAACACAAGTTCACCCGATAGCACAAAGTAGGTTACAATAGATATATAAATATGACTTTCTTCAGTGTCTCAAAACTTATGAGTTAATTTAATTATTCTTCTTACTATGTGTTACCCATATATAGTAATAGTAATTAATTCTTTCTTTAATAATTCAAAAACACATATTAAATTAGGCTAAGTAAGAGTGGCAACCTTGTACCCAAATCCTGCTTCAAATACTTTTCAGAATTATATTAAGTAA